GACAAATAAGAATAATTTCGACAAACAATAACACTCACACCTATTAAAACAGAGCATTTGTTCAATTAATAAATCGTATGACAGGTATTTCTTAAGGCATGGCCAATGGTTATTATTAATGTGTGTGTGGGGGGGGGGGGAGTTGCAGGAAGGCTGAAAATTGTTTTCTCTAGGAAAGGGTGGGAGAAAAAGTCACCTGAACTCATTCATATGCACTTCGGGAGCGTGAGACGGTCCAACAGTGTTTGGATGCTATTATGTGTGTTAAGCTTCGCCTCTTTCAGTTTGGTGACGTGTCTTTATGCTTTCATCTACACATCAACAGCGCAGAACAAGTGTAGTGCGTAGTCGTGGCAACACAAGAGTCACGCTTCGGGATAATCCGGTGAGGAGAGGGGGTCAGGTGCAAGCTAGTCTGCCCTCTCATCGTATAGCGAACATGCTGATTTTGTGTCACGGGCAACTTTATCACGCGCGCTTAATAACATAATCAAAATGCACCAATGTAGACTTCAAAGATTCTTTGAATTTATATAATGAATAAAAAATATTCTACACCTGTTTCTTCATTTATATACAAGCACGTGAATATTTCAACCTACAATTCAATGGTTAAATTTCAAAAAGTGACAAGTGTGATAGAAATGAATCAGTATACATTACAGCGATAAATGAGTTGAATCCATAAAAAATAAAAATAACCAATAAAAACATCCATATATATATAAGATTTAGTCTAAACTTCGTCTTTCTTGCTCCTACAAGGTTCCCAAGAGTTGGAATCTTGTAAAAGAAAACGTTGTTTTTTCTCGCATAAGGAAATTTTTTCCAGGCCTGTCGTTTGTCTTTTAATAAAAAAATTTCACTAGCTTCTATTATTTTCAAGGAAACATATCAAACTGTGTTTATATATGATAGTTCCAAAACAGTTATATCTTCGTCGCAGTGTTTTTACTGAATTACACGGTCCTGGTGTAGCTTTGCACGAAATTTAAAAAACAAACAAAAAACTATACTAACATCGATACGTTTTATTCCTCCCGCTGTTTCACAGCCAGACACATATATGGGACACACTATATAATAAATAGCCTTTGTTTTAGCCTTGAAAAGTGTGACATTAAACACAAGTGAGTTTGCGAGTTTCAAGTTTGAGATAAGTGATGAACTCTTAAAATATTTTTTACTGTGTCTAAAATTATACCTAGCACTAGGAGACTATCTATAAAAGTGCCAGTGAAATAGTTAATTGAAATGGGTAAATTCTTTGATTAAAAGTTTTATTCACAAATGTGTTGTGTAACTACATTGCCTTTAGCACGTGATGATAAATCCTTTGGGTTAAGTAACTAAAATCTGTGGTGAAACTTAGAAAAAACTATTGAACAGTTTTCATTACATCTTGACAGGCGCAGTACTAAGCGAACGTTAAGTTGAAAGTTGCTTTAACTTTAGTTGCTATACTAAACAAATGTTAAAATGAAAGTTACATTTATATTTAAGCAAAAATATTACCATATAAGTTTGAAACTTCTGACTTTGAATAATAAATATACATTAAGAAATACCAAAAATTTAATAACTGATGTGTAATTTTAAGCGATTAACCAAAAAATAATTTTCCCCTAATGGAAATTGACTGAAACAAAAAAAGGCCAATGCCTAAAGCCAAGTAAACGCTGTTATGGAAGGTACTATACACATTACTCTCACATTAGTGTTAGGACCAATGCCTAAAGCCAAGTAAACGCTGTTATGGAAGGTACTATACACATTACTCTCACATTAGTGTTAGGACAAATGCCTAAAGCCAAGTAAACGCTGTTATGGAAGGTACTATACACATTACTCTCACATTAGTGTTAGGACAAGGTTTGGATTTGCTCAACTGCTAAGATACTTTTTATGTTTTTCAAGAAATTTAGGCTTATCCCTTACAGAAAAAGAATTATCCCCATTTTTCTTACATTAAATTGTGTTTTTTTCATATTTTAGCGCGATGAGGAATGTTAGAAGCTTAAAGGTTTAATGTAGAATTTTATCACGGAGAATAATGAGGCTTCCATAAAAGATTTAAGGTAAGGTAGTTGATTGATGAATTTCGATAAAAAAAATGTTTTATTATAATAAGAATCAGTTGAAAATTTCCATATTTGAAGGAATGATGAGTTTGACAGGAACAGCTGTGGAGAGTAAGTAAATCACTGGAGTTTTTTTTTCTTTTAATATATGCTAACCTCGTTAGCTTGTTAACATGTTTTACAAGTCCATGTGCATATAAAACATTTAAAGAAAAATGGTGTTTTTCTCGTTTAATAAAATAAAACTAGCAAAACTATTTAGTGTCTAAAGGATTTTTCAAGAATTTGATAGTTTCGATCTGAATGGTACCTAATGTAAAATGAGCAAAACGGTCAAGAGAGAAGACACAATTTTCAGATATAGTCATTCCTAATATGGAACTGTCGAAAAGAGAGAGAGGTATCCGTCCGCCAACTAAATAGCTACTCTGGACCGAATAACGGCAGAATTTACTGTTATAGCTTAAGCATTTCCATAGTTGAAAGTGTAGAACGTGTTTAGTGGAATATCGCGGCCCCAGCCTTGGACGTTCCGATACGTAGTCGACACGCCAAGAAAGTTTTTAAATAAAGGTTTATGTAATTATAATTCATCATTTACTAACATACTATAAGTTATTCCGAACTCATAACGTTTTACTATGAAACACCAGAAATTGCAAGTAGCTCAAGACAGACGGTGGTGAGAATGTTGGGCAGCTAGTACAAACAAAGCTGGTAACATCTGAGAACATTAAAATAGTTGAAACAGCTGTGGTCAGCTTTAATGTATTTTTTCTCTACACAATTATTTTAACCACTTTGTTGTAGCTTGAGATTGAGTTATTTTTGACAAAAGAAGGCATTTCCAAGTATAAAAGAATTACGATAACAAGAGAAAAAAAAGAGCCACAAAGCTATGATCGACATTAAGAGATTGTTGGTTATTTTATACGATTACTTGAGACTCCCACACAGATAATAACAAACAAAGTTAGCAGCCGCTCTTGTTCTTGTAGCGCGTGGACGGATTACATACACTGAGGTACGTAGGCCAAAACACCGGTCACGAAACGAACGAAAGACATCGGGCTTCCTTACTATCTTTGTTATTTAACAGTAACATTTATTTGTATACTGACCTTAACTGTAGATGCGCAAGACTTCATCTATGTTGAATTTGTTTTAACCATCAACTTGTACGTCAAATACGTCGAATATTTAGAAATTTAACTTAAAAATGTATAACTAACACACCTACTTACAAACATCATGAAAAAAATAGCACAAAGGGTTACCAACATACAATATAATTATTATAATGCGCTCACTACATAGCAGAATTTAAAATCTAGAAGCTCCGAAGCGACAAAACGGTGCCTTGATTTTGATTTATTAAAGATGGATAATTGTTAAGTAATAAGTAATAATGAATCACAAGAATATTAGTGCTTTATCTTAACTGACGTATTCACGACATTAGTTTTCTCGTTTTTATAGTACAAGTAATGTACTGTTACATCTCTGGTCGTTTGTTAATTTCCCGTATAATTTCTGCCCGAGGAAACTTCAGAGATACAAGTCCTTTCTTAAATAAAACTAGTTTATTCTTCCTCAATACAACTTTACAATACACTTAATTTCCACAGTCATTTTAACAGTTTAACACACGCTATAATTCAGAACAATTCACGTACTTTACTTACGGTCACCACCGCGCTTGACTCAATTAGCCGTCTCTATCTCTGCCTGTCTGCAATTATCCTTATGCTGTCACTTCATTTGCCGGCTTATATATATATATACAAAAATAGAGGGGGCGTAGAAAAGACTAGAGTTGCCACAAACAGACATGATCCGTCTAGAATCTCATGACGTGTTACATGACGTGTTACTTCCGCTGTCTTAACAGTACCATAGAATGAGTAAAACATTGTATAAGATTAAACACTGCTGACAGTATTGTAATTCCAAGAACAGTCAATTTCTCACGCGGGAGGAATTCTTGGAAATGGAAGGCCTTGCTACACATACTCCCTATTACCTGTCGATGACTACTTGTATTACAACTGCCACAGTTAGTATATCTAGCACATAAACCAGGCTCTGCTGTTCAGATAATCTTCTTAAGGCTAAGTTTCATAAGTTCATGATAACTTATAGTACATACGCAAAACACATAAACCAAACAGTTAATAAATTTATTTTCTGTGTGATGTATTCACTAGTTATATGAGAGTCAAGTAATAACGGGAAAATCATCACAATTATAAATAAATAAATGTATACAGGATGAGACAAAAGTCACTATACAGCTGCACACTTTTATTACTACAAACAAAAGTGAAACGTAATAATATAAAATAATAATGAGTATCTAAGTCTCTAAAAAACTATATATAACAGTTAAAAATAACAACAAATAAGACAATATCGAAACCTTTCTACAATAGTAAGTTAGTTAACTATGTACAACTGTATATTGACTTTTGCCTCACACTGTATATATATATATATATATATATAAATATATACAACTCGAAATACGTGTATATGTATGTGTGTGTGTGTATATATATATATATATATTGTAACTATTATATTACTCAGGATAGCATAATACAATTGCTATAGATTCAAAATTTGCATAAGTGGAAGTCTAGTTTAAGAATAAAAGCCTAAAGAAACTAACATTTATATTTATTTTTGAAACCATGAAGAATTTGTGAAACTATCCGAAAGAAAAAGGCTCTTTTTCTGTAAAATTATAAAAAACTCTCATACTTATGCTTTGATTAAACTTTAAACTTTTACAGCAATATGTTTTGTTTGTGGCTTTACGTATAATCTTTATTTTCATTTAACGTATCTATTTGTAGCTTTTTTGAGCCATTTCCTCACATATTTGTTGTTGTTGTTTTTTGCGTAGCCCCCACTTACCGTGAGACACCCAGCCATGAGAACAGGTGCTACAAATCCGCTGGTAAACTGTGCCTGGATTGAAAGCATCACATGAACAGTTGAGCGTCGTGCATCGAATTGCCTGAATTAGAAAAAAGTTATTTTAAATTTACAATAGGTAGCGTTAGTTTATTAACCAGTTCCAAAACAATATGTAGCTTAGTTCAAGAACTAGTTTCAACCAAAACAACAGCGAAAATATTCAATACGTAACGTTAGTTTAGAAATTAGTCCTACCCAAAGCAATAAATTTACACACAGACATATACGCAAATAATCATGTATGCCAGAATTCTCTGTTAATGTTCAGACGTTCAGATTAAATAATTATTATTTTTAATTTATGATAAATGGCTTTTTGAAATGGCCATTAGCTCTTTGAAAGTAAGCCTCCTCGTCCGAACTTTTATAATTTTATATAAAGTTTTAATTGGATTAGGAATAATTTTACATTAATAATGCCTAATCTAAGTAAACCATTTTGTATTAAGAAAAATGTTTAGAATAAGTTTCTGGCAAATTCACAAAAGTTTAGTTGTAACATTACACCTGTTAGTTTTTCATGCCTTTTCAAGTCCAAACATAATTAATGTAATCCAAAATTCAACAGTTTGTGCCCATAGAATTAGCTGTAACTAATGCTAAATCACCACATGCATCAAATTTTAAGTAGAGTCACTACTTGTCTGTACCAAAGAAAGATATGGAGAAAAACTAAACCTTTTCCATTAGAAGCGTTGACAAATATTTAAAAATTGTTATAATCACTACTTGAAATGATCGAATGACACATTTGATGGCTTTTGTGATCTACAGGCATGTTACAGAAGAGTGATGGATCTTCAGGCATGTTCCAGAAGAGTAATGGATCTTCACTTCTGCAACTAATCCCATGGACATTAAACTATTATTAAACGTACTAAACGCATACTGGATATCAATGATAATTTCGATAATAAAAAACTATGATTATCATTCTTTCAGTAATGGAAATTATTTTATGACCACCAAGAAATCGTTGTACAGTTTTTAACCAATCACACAATAGAACAACTCACCACCAAATACTAAGAATGATATTAATGGCTTAAACCTAAAAAAGGTTGCTGTATAGTGCACACAGATGAATGTTGACATTCCAAGACAGTGCTGACACCTGTAAGGAAGTGGAACATATTATAGCTCATGGTGTTCACCACCTAAAATACTCCAGGTAAAACCAGGTAACATTAAAGTAGAAACTGTGTTGACAGAATGAGTTATATAACTTTAGTATAGAAGACAAAGGACATGCTTGACATAGGAGTACAAGCTACCACAGTATACATACTTATAAGAGGAGAGGCTTACCATCAACACTGTCCCGGGTCATGATCCACTAATAAAAGTGAAACTAATAACACTTGTTTATACCCAAAACAAATAGCGCTTTAGATAGAAGTATCCTGAAGGCTGATTATAGATTTTTACTTACAGTGACTATAATTGTTCAAATATTCACGTGCACTATGCCATGATCACCTGTAGCCACTGAAAATTTTCCAACAGAATTATGAAGGGTACCTGTCACGGATCATAAAAAATAAAAGTGTCTAAATACACACGCTTTATGTCATATTTTCTGAATTTATCATTGATTTAATAACTTTGCTGTGACTTCGTGTAGTCTAGCCACAAAATGTATTTGAAAGGAAGCACAACGCTTAAGACAAGATGTCGTCCAATCACATGAGAGAAAATCGCCAATAGAATGTTCGTATAAACTACTTAACAAAACATTAGCAAACAGTTTCAAAATAGTCAAATAATCTTTTTTCATGATACCACCTCCCTCTATCACAGAAAAACCTCGTCACTTTTCATTTTCACGAGCGAAGCAATTTTACAGGTTCCGCTGTATGTTTGTTTGTTTGTTTTGAATTTCGCGCAAAGCTACACGAGAGCTATCTGCGCTAGCCGTCCCTAATTTAGCAGTGTAAGACTAGAGGGAAGGCAGCTAGTCATCACCACCACCCACCGCCAACTCTTGGGGTACTCTTTTACCAACGAATAGTGGGATTGACCGTCACATTATAACGCCCCACGGCTGAAAGAGCGAGCATGTTTGGTGGGACGAGGATTCGAACCCGCGACCCTCAGATTACGAGTCGAGCGCCCTAACCACCTGGCCATGCTATATGAAGAGAAAAAATATAAGTGCTTGGTTGTTTATTATGTGAAGCGCTGATTGAAGTACACTGTATGACATGTTTAATATTAAAAATACATTTTTTCAACTTAAGAAGAAAGTATACTAAGTATACATATTTCGACTACGTCTCTGTCAGAGGACAATGGAATACAAAAATTGAGTACAAATAAAATAAGAATTCTCTAAGTAGAATCCAAAGGAATCGCTCTGAGTAGCTTTAAGACATCACGAAATAACAATAAAACAATGTTAGATTAAAATTTTAAACAACATGTCTAAAGTCTGATTGTTACATAACCAGTGAAAATTGAAAATTTTGAGCTAAATTATTGTTGAGTTTCAGCTGAATTTCCTTACTGAATATAAGTAGTTTTCAAAGTTACAGCTTTTACACTAAGGAAGAATATTACTTTAAACGGGTACGACGTTTCGATCGATAGTGCGATAATTCGCAAGTACAGGATTTAACAAAAATCGTCGTTACCGATAACACCAGCGATCGAAACGTTGTACTGTTTAAAGTAATAATCTTCCTTAGTATAAAAGCTGTAACTTGTAAAAAAAGAAAAAAATGTTATTTGTTGTTAAGCACAAAGCTACACAAATGGTTATCGAAACCTAATTTCTAGCATTATAAGCCCACAGACGTACAGCTAAGATACGGAAGGAAAAAGTTTTAATGTAACGCTGTTTGATTGTTGTCTCATTTGATGCCACGAGCTTCCTAGTGCAATTATTCCAAATACTGCTTACAGAAAAATTGTACCCCCAGTAGGTCAGCGATAAGTTTACTAACTTACAACAATAGAATCTGGGGTTTTATTCTCCAGTGTAGACAGAGCGCAATTAGTCCATTGTGTAGCTCTGCGCTAAAATAACCGATTATTAGAAACGAGTAACTTTATATAAATTATACTCAGTTTTTATTTTATTGTATCCTGACGTAGACGTAATCGAAATATTGCTATCAAAGAACTACTTCTATACTGAAACTTAAAGCTGTTTTCTTTTATCAAAAATGCCGAGCTGTGGGTAAAACTGAAACCATACGTAAAATACGTGGATGATGAAGGATGTATATTTTATTCATAATGCTTCATCAGGCTTACCTGGCAACATCAGGCGAACAACAAAAATTGGGGCTAACATAAATTAATTTTAAAAAGGAATTACATGAGAATATACAACATTACTAATCTACAAATGTGTGAAGTAACTTATCAATGAAGTGAACCAATCACACCCAAACATAAAATTCTCGATAGAAAAAAGAAGTTGACGACATATTATTATTTCTAAATGTACTTATCAAAAAGACAAAGACAATCCTCCGTATTTCGTAAGAACACTCACATGTGACTTTATGTTCTTTGAAGTTCCTTTCATGACCAATGCTAAAAGCTAGATACATTAAAAGGTGCTATTCGTACAAATAAAATGATAAATTCCAACATCGATTGTTTCAAAAAAAGAAAATGACAACCTTAGATTTCAGTTTTGATTCCTTTGAAAATAATCCACAAATTGACATGACAAATCATTCTTCCAATATATCCTCGTGTTTTACCATTCATCCCAAACTTATCTCTTGCTATCAAAAACATTTGGTTACAAACAGCTAAAGAGTATAAAATTGACATTAAAATACAATTTAAATTTCTGCCTAGAAAAGCTAGGGCAACTGCTATCCAAAAAAGTATATGGATAATGATATTTCAGGAAATGTGTATGCAACTGAACTTTTCACACCATTGGTCCATACTTCTGCTTCTGCTCTGTCTCTTCTTATATGGTGCCTATGCTGTTGGGACTGGATGCTAATATATGTCTTCCTCATGCTTATCTCCATGATCTTTGTCAGGCTTCGTTTCTTCACTTTGAGGTCTTCAGGGGTGTTCCTGACTCACCGGAGTCCTAGGCCTAGGCAATCTGGCATCAGTCCTCATTGTCTACTTTAGTTTCTTGCCTTTCTCAACCTTGCCCTTCTGTTTCTATTCCTAGGCTTGCTGAATCCGTGTCTCCCCTTCCTGTCCTCCCACTTTCTAACATTAGATGTGTTGCTTATCTTGTTGGTGACTACTCTATTGGATCTGGCCTTGTGGGAGACTGTCTGTCTCTCTTCACCAGTCTTTAGTTTCCATCTTTCGCCAACTGATGGGTTCTTCAGGTTCTCACCCACAGCCTATCTCACAACTTCTTCTTCTCCTCCCCTTTTCCAGTTTATTTTATTCTTCCCACCCACCCCATTTACCTTCAGAGTTTTGAGGATGTGGTCTCAGATCTCTTCTCCAAGAATGCCATCTGTCCAAGTATGTAACTGAAGATGTTATATTGGTGAGAAAAACAAACAACTTTCTACTCGTTTGCGGAAACATTTAAAATCTCCATTTCATGTTTTGGAACACATATCTAGGAAAAATAATTCCTTTGATTATTCTAAAGTAAAAATCCTCAGCAGAGAATACAACATTCATAGACGAAAAATAAAATAAGCCCCATTTTATTACATTACAAATACAAAGGTGTTCATTTATATCTATTTTAATCGCTCCCTTCTCTCTCTTGTATATAGAATGAATTTTAATACGTAGACTCTGGCCTAAAAGCTTTATTTGTATATTCCTAAATTTGATAATTCATTGATAAATTACTTTATTAAATTTGTAATTGCTTAGTCACATGCTTGTATATTAGTACTGTTATAGATTTTTCACGCAAACATTTTTTAAAACTAATTTCTGTTAACCTGAGTTCTTGTATCTCACCTGATGATGCCAGGAAAAACCTGGTGAATAAAATAAACAAAAATTTTACTATGTACAACCACTAAAAAAGTTATGTCAATTTAAGTTTGTGTGTTTTGAATTTCGGGCAAAGCTACGCGAGGGCTA